TGAGTCTTTCAGACCCGCCCTTTTTCAGACTCCGCCCACCGTGAAGCCCAAGCCTAAGGGTTACTTCACGCTACACCGCAAGCTGCGGCATCCCGCAGCAGCCTATGAAGAAATCCTTAGGCTGGGTATTCAATTAGACGGTGGGAGGAGTCGGGAAGGGGCGGGGTCCGCAAGAGTTTCGAGACGAGATTTAGGTCTCTTAAACATGCTTTTTTGCTGCAGACTTCACGTTCGCTTAGTCTGGAGGCCTACCATCGCAGCGCAATGAGATCTAGATACACCCCAATTTGAGGGGACGCTGCCTTTATCTTTGCTCACAATATATTGGAAGGACTACAAAGCTTGAAGTTGTCTGTATATGCATCACACAGCGTTCACCAACACGTAATGTTGTTTCGCTTACCATTAACTTCTTGTCCTGGAGCATATTTTTCTACCACACCGCCAACCATGAGGGCAGCTATAGCAAAACACCCTGAACTAATTAATTACGAACAAAAGACAGTACCGATCCCTTCTATACCCGGTGAGTTATGTCGTGAGCTGCCAAAAATTACGTACACTAATGGAATAAATATTGCAGTGATTAAGCCATAAATAGGAGGGACACCCACCAAATACCCGTACGCCAGACCTAGACCAATCTTATAATTTTTTATTTATTTTACTGGTCGAGATGTAGTCGTACTTTGCGGAAGACATATGATTGATAGCATTGTACCGCCCAGAAGATCTGATCTCAGATCTTCGCGCCATTTGTATTGTGATAACCATTTGCTTATTGGAACTCGTCCCATCCAAAAGTGTGCCCAATCTGCTCGTGTCCACTTCGATACCTAAACGCACTTTTCTGCAACCAATACTTGTACCGTAGCTTTGTTACCTGCTTGAAATGCCAATGCAGCTTTTTAGCCCACGTTAAATCAATTCTTCGATATCCGTAATATTTGTCGAATTTTTCCTGTGCGATTCATTATAAACAAATGATAAGCGGTAATGAAAATCGAATTAAAAGTACATGGCTTTGAGATTGATGTTTATGAAATAGATGGCATCTTGACGCCAATCTCTATCTGTCTTTGTTAGTGGAACACTTTTACAGGCACTTATGGATGTTTTTCAAGTTTAGATTTGAAGAAACTTTTGCCTTGAAATACTTGTATTTCAAAGGGAGAACAAGAAAATTATATAATCTCACCGACCCTTCCCG